TCTACATAGAAAGAGTAATTAATGCAGCCACGATTGGCTTGGTTCGACGTCAAGGATGATTCTTTGGAGGCGAAATTAGCGACAACGGAAGCGCGTGAAACGAAAAAATAATGAGGAGGATTATAGTTGCGATAGATACCTTTCTTCGCTCGTCGATTCGAAAAACGATCTCGAGAAGAGTTTGCTCGAAAGGCAGCCATTATCCGGTAATTCAATTCTCGAAATGAGGGGGGAGAGACTTTGGGGAATTCCAATTTCTAAAAGTTCTAGAAGGGAAGAGAAACCGAATCGTTTCGGGCCACCAAGTTTTCGGGGTAATTTCTTCGAGTTAAATCGAGTTACGAGCGATTCGTTTCGTGAACAAATTTGTACATCGTTAGTTGTTATTTGGCCACGATTGGCGTATAAAAGTACGAATGGATGTTTGCGATTTTTGGAGTTAAAGTCGAGTTCGATTTGATCTAATATCTCTTTAAGTATTAAAAAGTCTATTCAAGTATTCAATTTTTATCTTAACAGAGAGTAGAACAGAATTTTATGAAACTAACTTTACAAGTATTACGAAAGTCTCGATCATTCATCCATAACTTCAAATGTTCCAGCGATACGAAACTCCTTAACTCTCAGCTCAAAAATTAAATCCAACCGATTCATCCAATGTTTCATATCTATAAACAACCAATACCAATATTTTCAATTTTCAATTGAAATTATTTAAACCGATGCTTTATAAATATCATGAAAATAATTCTGACCAATATTCAACAATCGACTCGATGTTCGAACCAATACATAAGAATCTATTACTCAGTTTCCTTCGCCATTCGAAACTAATCCAAAGTACCCTTGGCAATCACCCCATTCTTAAGACTGGAAAGCCAAGGTCGACCTTAACGAAGGATATACAGGCCACCTTATGGCTCGCCGGCCAATCGAGCGTAATATTAACTCGCAATTATCGGTGAATTAAATGGCGGCCGACACGTTCACTCCCTCCTCTTCCCCTCTTTCTATTCCACAATCGTGCGTACACGAGAAACGGTAATGTAGACGGGGGGGGCTTTGATACGTGCTTTGATAACCATCGAGTCGCACATCATCATGCCTTCTCTCGAGTCAACGTGTAGCCTAAGTGCTCGACACCGAAATGAATTTGCCTCATTTTCCAACCTGGCTCGTGGCCTTTGTACGGGAACGACCCCCTTTTACCCATCATTTGTCATTTTCTCGATCGGAGGCGATGATAACGGAAGGAGGATCGAGTGTGATAACGAGGCGATAAATTGGGACGATCCGTTGGTTGGAATATATCTGGAAGCTGGAAAAAAGTTTTTAATTTCAGATACGTGGAAATGGGAAAATTCTAGAGATGGAAAACAAAGGATTCTTCGAATTTTAAGGAAATTAAGAAAGGATCTTGAAGAAAGGATTTATTTCCAGTCCAAGAGAAATTTGATTCTACTTTTTGTTACGTTCGTTGTTAGAAGAAAGATAGAATTGATATCTCATTTCGCAATGTCGAAACATCTTAGAAACCCTTTACGATAGCTCAGTAGTAGAATGTGTATATATAACGCAGACAGGATGACCTGATATTTAACACTTTATCGTGAGGCTTCATCGTTTTAATTTTAAATTTTAACACCTCATTTTCTAAAATTAGAAAGAAATATATTTATAGCGTTAATTTCTAAGGAATCGAATGATATATTAAATCATGCGGCAAATATGTGCAAAGAAGCCTCAATTTCGCAAGATCCTCATGAAACCTTTGGAAGAACTCACAACTGTCAAAGAATCGACATTGCACGAACTATGTTTCTTTCCCTTCTTTAAATGTCAGTAGTAACGTCCAAAGTGAGTCATCAATGAGAACAGTTGATGGAGTGCCTTAAGATAAAGATAGAATCACGATAGAATTTTTTCTTGGAAGACGTTAGAAAGGAATTTAATTCGGTTTAATTTAAAGTAATTAGGAAAAAAGGGAAAGAAGAACGAGTTGATTGTAAAAGATTATTTAAAGTATATACTCTTTGCGATATTCCTTCATTTGTCTTATTAAATCCATATCTGCTCTTATCACAAAATATTCGATCCGGATAAACCAGAGATTATCCCAAGACAAGATTATCTCGAGACAAAATCAATGCCAATTTGTTAACAGAACAAGCTTACCGTGTCGATCGTCATAGAGGGGAGAAATTTTTCGTTGAAAATAACTTACCCTCCTCGGCCGGCAATTCTGAAACAGACAAGATAAAACGGGAATAAATAATACGTTAAACAAAACGATCGATTTCATTATTTAAATTATTACAATTGATAATCACAAATATATCCATTAAATATTTCATATATTTTGTAAGCAAACGTATAATATAAAACGCATTGTTAAACATCAATGAATTATAAAGACAATAAATCAATAAATCAAAATGAATTTCACAATGAAGAAAAATAAACATTAAATACACCAAAATATATAAAATATTCAGATTATTGTAATCAATTGTAATTCTATTGAAATAATTACAATCCCATCTCGAGCAAATATAAAAGAGAAAGAGAGAGAGAGAGAAAAAAAGAAAATTCGAGGACAATTCTTAGAGACTTAACGAAAGACAAAAAACAGTTGTTGCATGCAATCTGGCTTAAGCTGCACCGGCTCGCAGCATCTTCTTTAAGCTGGCCTACTTCGAATTCCTGAAGCATCGTTCGCTTACTGCATCGCAAACAACGTTTTCCTGGTCGATAAACGCCCTTACACGGTGACGGCCCATCGACACGTATATCTCCGTGACAACCGATAAAAACCTCGGGAGGGTAAAAAAAAAAAAAAAAAAAAAAAAAAA